GATTTTCCCATGCCCTGGAAAAGAACCAAGTCAACTGAGCATGCGCAGAGTGACATCAAGCCGGGGACACCGAAATTCAAGAAGCCACTCCTACACACACCCCCCAAACTCCTCCCCTTCCAGCTCCCAGGCATAAAAGTTGGCCGCAGGTAAGTGCCGGTGTGACTTCTTCGGCCCCCCACATTTGTGGACCAGAGAACATCACCCGAGAGCGCCGGTGCGACTTCCCTGGCCCCCTACACCTGAGGACCAGAGAACCTCGTCCGAGAGTGTATGCATATTTGCAAATAAAAGACTGCCACTTTCTTACGTACTTTGGCCTCATGTTTAATTACTTAGCTCTCCTAAATTAAGTTACATTAAATTAAATGAAACAAAACAGTGGCAACAGTACATTAGGGGCAGGTGCCCTCTGTAGAGTTTCTCCAAGTGCTGGACCCTGACCAGCAGCCTCAGAGTCACCTGCAGCGCTCATTAGCCACATAGCTTTCAGCCCCAACTCCAGACCTTCTGAGTCTGAGGCTGGGGTCTAGGAATCTGCCAAGGATTTTTCTGACAGCTCAGGTTTCAGAACCACTATTCATGAGGGAAAGAAAAATATTAAGGGCTAAGACAGAGCAGCTATGAGATCCAGGAACCTGTTATCACATGGAAAGTCTCCTTTTCCACCAATCTTGCAGAGCAGTTTGGCTTCATTCAAGAAGCCACTCAGTTTCCTTATACCTACCTTCTGGGTTCATGTGAGGAGGAGAAATAATGTACAAATAGTGCCTAATGCTCAACAAAAGGTAGCTATTAATAACATTATTATTAATAATCAAGACCCCCTCACTTTTCACAAGTTGTACATTCCTAACCCCATCATGAAGGAAGTTCATGTGGAACAGAACAACCTTCCTGGTGTTATTATAAGACTGCAACATTGTGTAATGAGATACACTTTCAGAGGCAATCAAGGTCAGCTGTGACCAATAGAGACCACGATCCTCACAGAAAATGAACCCCACTCAATTAATGGCTTACCATTTTCATTCTCAAAGGCATTTCTTCTTTAACACCACTTATTTTGAATAGCTAGTATATGTAGACTGTACAAACTTCAAAAAGAACAAAGAAAGATACAATGAAAAGTCAGTGTCACTCTTGCTCATCCTTAGAGGTAGCCACTACTAACATTTCTCCAGTATCTTTGTAAACATGAATGTATATATTTTCTTTGTCCCTATGCACAATGAGTAGCATACTTCATACACTATTCTGAACCTGGTTTTTTCTCTTGAAAATAAAAAAGATATTTCATATCAGCACATACAGAGTTCCAACGGCTGTATACTAATCCACTAAATGGATGCACCGTGATTTATTTAACTCTCTCCCTGTGGATGGATATGTAAACTCTAATCTTTCCATACTAAAAACAATGCTGTACACATGAAATTACACAAACTGGCTTGTCTATCCTTGGAAATCCCTAGATGGGCTTGCTGGGTTAAAGGGGACGTCCATTATTAACACTAATACACTGCGGGTCACTAACGTTGAGAATTCCTGTTCACCAAAGGCATTTTCTTTCTTTTTTTTATTTTAGAGACAGGATTTCCCTGTTACCCAGGCTGGAGTGCAACAGCACAATCTCGGTTCACTACAACCCCCACCTCCCAGGTTCAACCGATTCTCGCGCCTCAGCCTCTCGAGTAGCTGGGATTACAGGCGCGCATCACCACGCCTGGCTAATTTTTGTATTTTTAGTGGAGACGAGGTTTCACTATGTTGGCCAGGCTGGTCTCAAACTCCTGACTTCAAGTGATCCACCTGCCTCAGGCTCCCAAAGTGCTGTGATTACAGGCGTCAGTCACCGCGCCCGGCCACTGGAGGCATTGTAAATGATCATCCACATTAGAAACGAAACGAAACAACCTGGAAAGGCAAGCAAAAGCCTTCAATGTGTTCCTTTCTCTGCCTTGGTGATCCGAAAGTCGTGCTGCGGCTTATGTACCTAGGCGAGGGTCGCGTGCTAATGGTCCCTTTCTTTTCAATATGCACCCGCGGTGGGACTCATAGAACCTTTATTTTCAACACGTAAGCAGTCACGCTTCCTCGAGCCTAAGGCTTTGTGCTATTCTTAAATGCTTTCCTCCTCCAACGCTGCGGCTCCCTCACGAGCCCGTAGCTGCGGCGCGCTGGTGAGGAGCGCGGCCCTGGGTGCCGTCCGCCACCCTGGAGGGACCGGTCCGGGGGAAAGTGCTCGGGAGAAGCCAGGGGCCCCGGCTGCGGTCGCTGGCCCGGGGCTCTGTGCACTCCCCAGTGCCCGGAAACCGTAGGTGGCCCAGCTGGCGGGCCGGGTCTGCCCACGAGGATGCGGGAAGCGCGGGGGACGCGGGCCGCCTGGCCAAGGTGCCCTTGCCAGGAATCGGCGCAGACACAGGCCCTGGGCGCCGGGGGAACCCAGCCAGTCTCACCGCGCGCTGCGCCGCAGGTGCCCCATTGCAGGGCGCCCCAAGACCGCGCGACGCTCGGCAGGGCGCCCACAGCCCTGCGGGCCAGAAAGATGTCACCTCCACGCCCCCGCGGGCCGGGAGCCGCTGGAGCCTAGCAACCGCCTGTCAGTCCCAGCCCTGCCCCAACAGTTTTACGGCAGCGGGCCCCGCCCCCGTGCACCACAGAGGGCGGGAAGGAGGTGTGCGGCACGAGCCAGCCAGTCCGCGCCACCATCTCCGGCCCTGCGCCCTGTCATTGGCCGAGAGCCGGGCGGCGCGGCGCGGCCGTAAGGCGTGGCGGGGTGTCGTGAGGCGGGCCCCAGAGCTAGCTCGCCGTCGGCCGCCGAGGGGTTGGCTTGGGTGTCATTGGCTCTGGGAAGCGGCAGCAGCGGCGGTGTCCACTCGGGGTCTGGTGTCGGCACAGCCATGGCTGGCGCGCTGGTGCGGAAAGCGGCGGACTATGTCCGAAGCAAGGATTTCCGGGACTACCTCATGAGGTGACGAGCGCCGCAGGCCGGACCCCGCAACCCGGAGGGGCGCCCAGGAGGCTGCGACCCGTGCAGTCCGCGACAAGGGCGGCCGCGAGGACGCGGTGGCCCCGGGCAGCGGGTGGGCCCGGGCCCAGGCGAAAGGGTGCGCTTGTCAGGGGGCCCCCACCCAGATCCCTCCTGGACCCGCACGCCCCGAAGCGGACGGCGTAGAGAGCCGTTGACAGTGGGCGCCTTTCAGAGTGGGGATGGCAGTGGGTGTCCTCTGCCGGCAGGGTGACAGTGGGCGCCCCTCAGGGCGGGAGTGACAGTGTCCTCTCCCGGCAGGGTGACAGTGGGCGCCCCTGAAAGCAGGGGTGACATTGGGTGCCCTTCAGGGAGCGGGTGACGGTGGGCGTCCCTCTTGGCCAGGGTGACAAGGGGGACGCCTCTCCTGGTAGGGATAACAGTGGACGCCCTTCCTGGCCAGAGTGGCAGTGGGGACCGGGAGGGACGAAAGTGACAGTGGGCGCCCCTCAGGACATGGTGACAATGGGGACCCCTCTCCCGGCAGGGGTGACAGTGGGCGCCCCTCAGGGCAGGGTGACCGTGGAGACGCCTCTCCCGGCAGGGGTGACAGAGGCTGGTTCCTCTCGCATGGTTGGCAGTGGGGAACGTCCCTCCAGGTCAGGTGACAGTGGCTCGCTCCTCCGGGCGGGAGTGGTCTCCTGGCCGGTTTCTGCCAGATCCTCGGAGTGGGTCGCCGGTCACCTGCGTCGGGCCAGGTGTGCTAGAGGCCGCGACCTGGGCGTGGGTTGGGGAGACGCCAGGGGGAGGCGCTGCTGAGAGCGCGGCGCGGCGCTGTTGGAGCGGAGCTTCGGGTGCACCCAGCGCGCTTCTGGGACAACGGAAATAAAATGTGCTGGCCTTGGGTTCGCCTTTCGGTTTTCTCATTATAAGGACTTTAAGCTTGGGAGGAAGTACAATTTAAGATGTTTTTATATGCGAAATTCTGTCATCCAAAGTAAAGTGATGTGTCTCTAAGGACGTACCTTTTTCTTCTTGTTCTATTTTCTGTTAACTCCTCCTTTCCAATTAGAAACAAGGAGCATTCGCGGTTGGAAAGCCTGAAAATACGTCTATAATTTATTTGCACCTCTAATCTTGAGGCGCTTGCTTTTATTTCAAAATATTGAATATAACTTTGAAGTAGTTTTAGGTTATTTAGGAGTATTTTAGTTTTTCAGTGAATGATTTTAAAACCAAGGTAAGTGTACAGCTGCGTTTTTTTTTTCAGTAGTTAATAGTGTGGTCAAGAGGTAAAGAGATGAAAGCTGAGGAGGAATAAATCCTGTTATAACCATCCAAAAGGTATAGTATGAAGGCAACTTGATTTTAGCAATAAATAAGTTTTAAATCCTGAATTTTATTGCTAATACTTTTTACTTTTACTTTTATAGAGCACCAGGGTAGGAAAAATAATTCAGTCTGCCGTATGGTAAACTTGTAAACGGAAGCTTCACTTCTGACTTTCAAAAAAAGACATTTCTATGCTTAAATCGAACTATGATTAATTAAGATGGATATTTAGGACTGTGGAGCACAGCAATTTATCAGATTCATGGTAGTAAAAATGTGAACAAAGTAGCAATCTGAGGATATGCTCTTAATCCTTGGACTTAAGTTTCTTTACAGCTTTGAATTTTAGCTTTTTACTAATATCTTGTATAATGAACCTTCCTAATAGTTACAGCTAAAGATAACATTGGATGGTAAAATTAAAAATACAGTTTTGACACCTAGCTATATAAAAATTATGGTGATAATTACCTAACAGTTTTCTTTTCTTTTTTCTTTTTTTTTTTTTTGAGACGGAGTTTCACTCTTGATGCCCAGGCTGGAGTGCAGTGGTGCTATTTTGGCTCATCCAAACCTCTGCCTCCTGGGTTCAAGTTATTTTCCTGCCTTAGCCCCAAGTAGCTTGGATTACAAGCATGCGCCACCAAGCCCAGCTAATTTTGTATTTTTAGTAGAAACGGGGTTTTTCCATGTTGGTCAGGCTGGTCTCAAACTCCCGACCTCAGGTGATCCGCCCACCTCAGCCTCCCAAAGTGCTGGAGTTAACAGGTGTGAGCCACCATGCCCGGCCCTAACAGTTTTATTACATAGGAAGAATTTGTTAAATATATTTTCAAGGAAGAGAGCTCTGCTTTTCTAAGTGTTATATTTTCTTCTACTAGATGGGTTTCCAAGAGCCAGGCTTTTCAAAAGGATACTTCAGTATATCATCTAACCTTCTTTTCTAAAATTAATTTTATGTAGCTTTAAATTTTTTTACTTTCTCCAGTATTTAATTCAATTACACTTTGACTAAATAAGGAAAAGAAGAGAATTGCATTACTCAGAACAGTGTTGCCTGGTAGAGCACCAGACTAGGATTCAGAAGAATGACTCATAGTCCAGGATCCCCAGCAAGTTGATCCCAGCAGACTTTATTTGCCCATCAAATGGGTTTAATGATAATGCTCTTTTTGGGTTATCAAGAAAATTAAATTGGATAAGGGATGTGAAAATACTAGGAAACTCCAAATCACTCTATATTTTATTATATCCTTCTGTTTTTGTAAGCAAAAACACTTTTTAAAGTTTATATTTATTTAGAAAGTTAAAATCTTGTGTGAGCTATAAAGCTCTATGATCTTGAACTGAAATTATTTTTGAAAGGTGAACACGTGATGTGAAACATTCAGCTGACCTGTTTTCCCTGCCATTCTTGGCAGCAGTGGGAATTCATGCTAGGTCTGCCAAACAGTGATTGAGGGCCAGTTTGAGGTCAGGTATCAAAACTCTGACCAGCTTTTTATTTTAGTGTTTCCTCCCCTAGAAAGAGAAACCTTTCTTCCTAGAACATATCAGAGGAAAGTACTTCCTATTTGTTCTTCCAAGCTTTTTGCTTACAGCCCGGCTTTTCTTTAGCAAAGGAGAATAAAATATAAAGCAGAAAACGTAATTATATCTCTCTTCTTCTAATCAGAAACAAGGTTCTATCCCTTCCTCTTTTTACTTCATCAGTTGCCTGTTGTACATACTTTGCATGCTCTGCATTCTTTTTGTAGCCTACTGAAGGGGTCAGAGGTTTTCTCAACTAAAGCTGTTCTAGAATTTTAAAAATTAATTGAATTTTTCAGCATAAATTTAAAATCATATTTTACACAGATTATAAATTTATTTCAATTATGTTTTATGAATCAAATTGAACATTCTTACTAAACTGAATTTCCAAGTGTATTTATTTATTTAGAGACAGGGTGTTAACCTGTCACCCAGGCTGGAGTGCAATGGCATGATCATAGCTCACTGTAACCACCCACTCCTGGGCTTAAGTGAGCCTCCTGCCTCAGCCTCCCAAGTAGCTAGGGCTACAGGTGTGCACAATCATACCTGGTTAGTTTTTTGTTTTTTGTTTTTTTGTAGAGATGGGACCTTGCTATGTTGCCCAGGCTGTTCTTGAACTCCCAGCCTCAAGCAGTCCTCCCATCTTGGCCCAAAGCTCTGGGATTATAGGCATGAACCTCTATGCCCAACCCATCCACATGTATTTTAAATGATGATTTTTTTTTTTTTAAACTGAAAGAGTTTATGAAACCAGCTCTCACTTAGGACACCTAAGAACCAAAGGCAATGTGTGGACTTTGATTGGGCCTGGTGTGAAAAAACAGCTGGAAAAGGCATTACTGGGATAACAGAACACTTAAATAGGATCTCAGTATTAAATAATATTAAATAATTATTGGAAATTGTTAGTTGTGATAATAGTACTGTTAAACCTAGGTGATGAGTCTGAATGATGGATTTGAAGCCCAACTCTTGCTTTCCAGCTTTGTGAGCTTGGGCAAATTGTTTAGCTTTTGTGCTTTGGTAGCTGTTTAATGACATAGTATAGCACTTGACAAAAGTAAGTGTTGAATTTATTTTTTATTGTAACTAATATTGCATGTTTAATCCCCAGGATTTCTGGTACTCTCTTTTTGGTACTTTCTTCTATCTGTTCTTACTTACCTTGATTAGTATCTTGAACCAAGAACTTCCTGGGTCTCTATTCCAATACCTTTTTCTTAAGAAACGATTCCCTCACCTTTCTTATTGACAGAATAAAGAAAGAGAGCTTTTCTTTGCTTTTCCTCTTCTCTCTTTCTCCTTCCTGGATTTCTGGTTAAGAAGAATAAATTAGAATAAGCAAAAAAATTTTGAGGTAGGACATATATTTTAATGATTAACTCAATCAAGGTCTGTGCAGCTTTATTCTAGAGACTGATTCCTCTTCTCAAGTTGTGTATATTACAGTAAAGGTGAATGGATACCCACACACACACACACACACACGTATTTGTATATGTGTGCAGAGGATGTTTTCTTAAGAAGAAACTAGATCATAGAGTGCTTTAAAATCAGTTAATCATTTAGCATGCTTATGAATCTGAAGTTAGTGGGATGTTTGCATTGAATATTCTCAAGTTAATGAGGTATTCTAAATTAATTTTAACTTCTGAGTCTCCAGGAAAGCTTTCAGAATTTATACTTACTACCCAGGTGAGAAGTTGCAGTAGAGTAAAAGGGAATCTTTCCCAAACTTGTGGAATTTTAGAGTCAGAACGGGCCTTAGAAATTCCAGTGCTTCATTTGCCACATGAGAAGGCTGATATCTGAACCAAACAGATAACTTCAGAACCTCTGGATACCAAACTTATGAAGCTAAAACAGAAATGTCAACTTGGGATTAAAAGGAAAATAATAATGCGTAGAAACGGTTTTGAAAAGAAGGTTTTAGATATTTTTGTGCTCCATATTTTCCTGCATATGTCTCCCTTTTCTCTGCCAAACTGCTTTTCACACCCGGTCCTTGGACTCTTTGAGCACTTCCCTGCCATATAATTGACTTTCAGAAATTGAATGAAGCTGTAAATGTCGAAGCAGGACTGGCCATAAGAGTCTCTTAATATCTGGATAGTCCAGTCACAAAGGTCTTTACTGTCATTCAGCTGACTTTTGGCTTGCTAAATATAGCTGAATATCACAAATTCTAATTGTTAAAACCCTCCCTCACCTTAATTTGAACTAGAAAACCAGACAAAATTTGGTAAGAATTTCAGCAAACTGTAGAATTATGATCTAGAATATCTCAAAATTTTATCCCATTTTACTTTGAATAATGTTAGAAATATACTATGCTAGGCTGTCAGTTGGATCCTTTTAGTACTACATAAGTAAGTTATAAATTACCTAAAGTCCTCTCAGTACTTTCAGAGAAAGCTAACATTACCATAATTTTGGAAAAATTAGAGATTGACCTAAAAGCAGGTCCTCTGCTCCTTTTGAAATCTCTTCCTTGTTCAGCCTGCCTACCTCCACTTCTGCCTCCACCATGTCCATCAGGGTGACCCAGCAGCCCTACAGGATGTTCACCTCTGGTCCCCCGGCCTTCAGCAGTTGCTCCTACATGAGCAGGCCCAGGGCCTGCATCAGCTCCTTGATTGTCTCCCGAGTGGGCCGCAGCAGCAGCTTCCAGGGTGGCCTGGGCGCTGGCATGACTCTGGCTGGAGGCTGTGGCGGGGCCAGGAGTAGGGGAAGCATCAGTCGTCACAGTTAACCAGAACCTGCTGAGCCACCTTAAGTTGGAAGTGGACCCCAACATTCAGGCCATGTGCACCCAGAAGAAGGAGCAGATTGAGACCCTCAACAACAACTTTGCCTCCTTCATCGACAAGGTGCAGTTCATGGAGCAGCAGAACAAGATGCTGGGAACCAAGTGGAGCCTCCTGCAGCAGCAGAAGACGGCTCAGAGCAACATGGACAACATGTTTGAGAGTGACTTCAACAGCCTTCTGTGGCAGCTGGACACTCTGGGCCAGGAGAAGCTGAAGCTGGAGGCGGAGCTTGGCAACATGCAGGAGATGGTAGAGAACTTCAAGAACAAGTACAAAAATGAGATCAATAACCGTGCAGAGCTGGAGAATGAATTTGTTCTCATCAAGAAGGATGTGGATGAAGCTTATGTGAACAAGGTAGAGCTGGAGTCTCACCTGGAAGAGCTGACTGATGAGATCAACTTCCTTAGGCAGCTTTGTGAAGAGGAGATCCGGGAGCTGTAGTCCCAGATCTTGGACACATCGGTGGTGCTGTCCTTGGACAACAGCTGCTCCCTGGACATGGTCAGCATCATTGCTGAGGTTAAGGCCCGGTATGAGGAGACTGCCAACCGGAGCCAGGCCAAGGCTGAGAGCGTGTAACCAGATCAAGTATGAGAAGCTGCAGACGCTGGCCTGGAATCATGGGATGACCTGCGTTGTATAAAGACTGAGATCTCCAAGATGAACCGGAACATCAGCTGGCTCCAGGCTGAGATTGAGGGCCTTAAAGGCCAGAGGGCTTCCCTGGAGGCCACCATCTCAGATGCCAAGCCGCACTGGGAGCTGACCATTAAGGATGCCAATGCCAAGCTTTCTGAGCTGGAGGCTGCCCTACAGCAGACCAAGAAGGACATGGTGTGGCCTCTGCATGAGTACCAGGAGCTGATGAATGTCAAGCTTGCCCTGGACATCGAGATTGCCACCTACAGGAAGCTGCTGGAGGGTGAGGAGAGCTGGCTGGAGTCTGGGATGCAGAACATGAGTATCCATATGAAGACTACCAGTGGCTATGCAGATGAGCTGAGCTCGGCCTACAGGGACTTAACAAGCCCTGGCCTCACCTATGGCCTGGGCTCCAGCTTTGGTTCTGGCAGGGGCTGGAGCCAGCTCCTTCAGCTGTACCAGCTCCTTCAGGGCTGTGGCTGTGAAGAAGATCAAGACCCATGATGGGAAGCTGGTGTTCAAATCCTCTGATGTCCTGCCCAAGTGAAGGGCCACAGCAGCCCCACCCAGTCTACCCACCCTGGGGCTGCCCCAGAGCCTGTTGGAGAGGCTGCTGTGCACGGCTGCACAGGGAACAGGAGACCCACCTGTTTTAGTCCCTTTTCACACTGCTTATAAAGACATACCCAAGACTTGGAAGAAAAAGAGGTTTAATGGACTTACAGTTCCACAAGGCTGGGGAGTCCTTACAATCCACCACATCCAGTGAAAAATTTTAAAAAATAATTATAACTGGCCGAGGCGGGTGGATTACCCGAGGTCTGGAGTTCGAGACCAGCCTGGCCAACATGGTGAAACCCCATCTCTACTGAAAATATAAAAATTGGCCGTGGTGGCACATGCCTGTAATCCCAGCTACTTGGGAGGCTGAGGCAGGAGAATTGCTTGAGGCTGGGAGATGGAGATTGCAGTGAGCCAAGATCGTGTCACTGCACTCCAGCATGGCCAACAGAGTGAGACTATCTCAAAATAATAATACTACTACTAATAATAATTGTTATTTTTGGAAAGAAGGGAAAATGGCATCATACAAAATGCTCATTTAAAACCATAAAAGGCAGAAAAAGAATGGAAGGCAAAAAAAGAACAAAGAACAAGGACAACAAATAGAAAACAGTAACAAATATGGTAAATAGTAATAAAACTATATCAATAATCACTTTGAATATCAGTAGACTAAAAGTACCAATTAAAAGACATATTGTACGAGTGGATAAAAAAATAAGACTGAATATACATTGTCTACAAGAAACCCACTTTAAGTGTAAATACACATATAGATTAAAAGTAAATAGAGATAGGTGTACCATGTTAACATTAATCAAGAAAAGGCATTGGTAGCTATAGATGGATCATAGTTCAGAGCAAGGAAAATTACCAGGGATAAAGAGAGACATTACATATGATAATGGGATCAACTCTCCAAAAAGACATATGCAATGGTTAGTTTTAGGTGTCAACTTTACTGGGTTAACAGATACCCAGATAGATGGTAAAACATTATTTCTGGGCATGTTTATGCAGGTGTTTCTGGAAGAGATTGGGATTTGAATCAGTAGACTGAGTAAAGAAGATGTGCCCTCACCCATGTAAGTGGGCATCATTCAATCTGTTGAGGGCCCTAGTAACAGAAAGGTAGAGAACAGACAATTTGCTTTCTCTTCTGGAGCTTGGACATCCATTTTCTTCTGCCATCAGACATCAGAACACTAGGTTATTGGGCTTTTGAACTCTAGGATTTACACCAGTGGCCCTTCAGGTTCTCAGGGCCTTTAGCCTCGAACTGAGTTACACAATTGGCTCCCCTAGTTCTCAGGCCTTTGGATTCGAACTGAGTTACACAATTGGCTCCCCTAGTTCTCAGGCCTTTGGATTCAGACTGAGTTACAGCACTAGCTTTACTGATTCTCCAGCTTATGAGACTTATTACTTCTATAACAGCATAAGCCAATTTCCATTAAAAATTATACATATATACACATGTATGTGTATATGTATCTATAGCTATACATCTTCTACATCTTCTATTAGTTCTGTGTCTGTGGAGAGCCCTAATGCAGGTAACAATCTTTAATGTGTATGCACCATTAGAGCATTAAAACACATGAGGCAAAAACTGATAGAATTGCAAGAAAAAATGATGAATCCACTAATATAATTGGAGATTTCACCCCTCCATCATAAATAGACCCAGCAGGCAGAAAATCAGTACGGACATAATTTAACTCAACAAAACAATGAATCAACAACTGGATATGATGAACCTCAGTAGACTGCTACATGTAACAGCAGCAGAATACACATTCTTCTCAAGCTCACATGGAATACTCACCAAGGTAAATTATATTCTAGAGAATAGAACACATCTTTACCAATTTAAAAGACTAGAAATCATATGGTGTGTGCTTTGGAATTAAACTAGAAGTCACTAACAGAAAGATAGCTGGAAAATCCCCGATACTTGGAGATTAAACAGCACACTTCTAAATAACTCTGGATCAAAGAAGAAATGTCAAGATAAATTTTTTAATATTTTGAACTAATAAAAGTGCAAACACAACTTATCAGAATTTGTGGGATACAGTTAAAGCAGTGATTAGAGAGAAATCATAGCATTGGATGCATATGTTAGAAAACAAGAAGGTTCTAAAATCAATCATCTAAGCCTCCACCTTACAAAACTAAAAAAAACCAAAAAAACAAAAAAAGCAAATTAGAATGAAAATAAACAGAAGAAAGGAAATACAGTAGCTCTCTACCCACCTTATCCACAGTTTGCTTTCTGCAGTTTCAGTTGCTTGTGGCCAACTAAGGTCTGAAAATACTAAGTGGAAAGTTCCAGGAACAACCAATTCATAAATTGTAAATTTTGTGTCATTCTGAGTAGCGTGATGAAATCTCATGCCATCCCACTTTGTCCTTCTTGAAACATGAACCATTCCTTCGTCCACCATCTGTATGCTGTAGATGCTACCTACTTGTTAGTCACTTAGTCATGCCACCTAGTCACTTAGCCATCTCAGTTGTCAGATTGTCGTGGTATTGCAGTGCTTCTGTTCAAGTAACCCTTATTTTATTTAATGATGGCCCCAAAGTACAAGACTAGTGATGTACAAGACTACTTTGAATATGCCAAAGAGAAGCCATAAAGTACATTTTTTAAGTGAATAGGTGAAAGTTAAAGTCCCAGCACGTTATTCTGTGGATATCAACACACAGATTTTGGAGTTTAAATGGACAGGGCGGTAAACCTGAAAATAGCCAACACAGTATTGGAGGAGAAGAACAAAGTTGGAGGACTGACATTACCTAACTTTAAAACTTACTGTAGAGCCACAGTAATCCAGACAGTGTGGTATGGGCAAAGGAATAGACAGATCAATCAATGGAACAAAATGAAGTGCCCAGAGGTAGACCTACATAAACAAAATCAACTAAATTTTGACAAAGGAGCAAAGGCAAAACAGTGTAGTAAAGACAGTCTTTTCAACAAATAGTGCTGGAACAACTGGACATGCAATTGCAAAAAAAGAAGAAGAAGAAGAAACGAATGTAGACACAGACCTTATACTATTTACAAAAATTCACAGACCTAAATGTCTAAAAAGGATCACAGACCTAAATGTACATCACAAACTATAAAACTCCTAGCAGATAATTTAGGAGAAAATCTAAATTACCTTGGGTTTGATGATCAGTTTTTCTGATACAAGATCAAAGGCATGATCCCAGAAATAATTGATAAGCTGGACTTCGTAAAAATTAAAAAGTTTTGCTCTGTGAAAGATGCTGTCAAGAGAATGAAAAGATAGGAGAAAATATTTGCAGAGGACATAACTGATAAAGGACTTTTCCAAAATATACAAAGGTCTCTTAAAACTTAATGATAAGGCCAGGTGTGGTGGCTCACGCCTGTAATCCCAGCACTTTGGGAGGCCAAGGCAGGCAGGTCACTTGAGGTCAAGAGTTTGAGACCAGGCTAGCCAACATGGTGAAACCTCTACCTAATTCTCTACTAAAATACAGAAATTAGCCAGGTGTGGTGACGGGTGCCTGTAATCCTAGCTACTTGGGAGGCTGAGGCAGGAGAATCACTTGAACCTGGGAGGTGGAGATTGCAGTCAGCCAAGATCATGCCACTGCACTCCATCCTGGGCAACAGAGCAAGACTCCCTCTCAAAACAAGCCAGCAAAAACCACAAAAACAAAACTCAATAATAAGAAAAGAGCTCAATTAAAAATGGGCTGAAGTCCTAAACAGATACCTCATCGTGTTCAGATGGCAAATAAGCATATGAAAATATGCTCTGCCAAAAGATTGGACACCACTGTTCTACATCATATGTCATCAGGGAAATGCAAATTAAAACGAGATACCAGTAAATATCTATTAGAAAGGCCAAAAGGCAGAACGCTGACAAAAGCAAATGCTGACGAGGATGTGAATCAACAGGAACTCTCATTCATTGCTGGTGGGAATGCAAAATCATACAGCCACTTTGGAAAACAGTTTGGCAGTTTCTTACATACTCCTTGGTATTTACCCCTAGGAGTTGAACACTTAGGTCCACACAAAAACCTGCGTGTGGATTTTTATAGAGGTTTTATTCATAATTGCCGAAACTTGGAAGCAAACAAGATGTCCTTTGGTAGGTGAATGGAAAAATAAATTGTGGTACATCCAGACAATGGAATATTATTCAGCACTAAAACATGAGCTATGAAACCATGAAAAGACATGAGGGAAACTTAAATACATATTACTGCATGAAAGAAACCAGTCTGAAAAGGCTGCATACTACCCGATTCCAACTACATGAAGTTCTAGAAAAGGCAAAATTACAGAGACAGTTGAAAGATCATTAGTTGTGAGGGTTTAGGTGGAGCACAGAGGACTTTTAGAGAGTGAAACTACTGTAAGACACTGTGATGATGGATGCATGGTATTATATGTCTGAATCCACAGGATGTACAGCACTAACAGTGAACCCCAATGTAGATATGGACTTTGGGTAACAATCCTGTGTCAATGGAAGTTTCGTGATTGTGATGAATACACCATGGCGGCGGATGTAGATAATGGGAGAGTGTGTGCATGTTTCGGGACTGGGTGTATATGGGAGGTACTTGGGTTCAATTTTACTGGGAACCTAAAACTTCTCTGAAAAATAAAGTTTATTTTTTTAAAAAAACGGAATACTTAATTTTTAACTGGAAATATAGTTTCTCCTCCATGAGAATTCAAAATCATAAGTGAACCCAAGAAAGTCTATGAGTTTTGTGTTTACTTTTTTACTGAAAATAAAGGCAGCATACCAAATAAAGAGAAAATCAAGAATATTTTCTAAATGGTTTTGCATTACTGTCCCCAAATTGCAGTTTATATGTGGCTTATACATTTATCTCTTTTTTTGAAACAGGTAATAATACATATTTGGAAGCATTTTTTTTTTCTAATTTGGTTCTGCACAAATATGCTTTTCAGATATTTTGATTAAGTCATTGATTCATGCATTCTAGAAAGTCGTGACTTAGAATTGAGGGATGATGAGTTATAGTGTTTTGTATTTAACAGACATATTTAAACTGACTTTACTCTCAGATTGTTTTACAGTAATTGATGTGATTAT